CGAACACTCGGTTGCTCGAGAGGGTGACCTGGCAAGAGGAAGGGCTCTCCATTCTCGAAAGTGCCCGCCTCGGTACGTACATGTTCTGCCCTCGGTTGATGCCTTGAATTTTTCTTTTCCTTGCTCCTGAATTTGTCTTCTATTTCCAAAACTGGGTGAAAAGATCGGCTCTCTGGAGCAAGAGCTAGAGATGGTCAAAGCGGCAGGCGGTCGGGGCGCGGAGGCGCTAGCCCAGTCCCTTGAGGAGCGACGCGCTCTCGAGGGAGAGCTCGACCAGATTCACAACATTGCGTAGGTGGTGGTCTCTGAGGTGTTTAGGTTAGGACCGAGCACTAGTACGCCCGCCGTCCAGCTGGCAGAGGTCCCAAATGAAGTTCGAGCGCTCATCTCTGATGGCATGTTCTATGGGACGTCGGGGGTGCTGACCTCGGTGGCGACCCACTACCCCGATCTGGACTTCACGGACATCTACAGTGGATATGCCAACGGGTGGAGCGTAGACAAGATCCATGCGCTGGGGGAAAGTTTAGTGCCGCACGCACAGATGGTCGCTGAGCATGTCACCGCGTAGTGGGTGATGGAGGCTCGCCGTTCGACCGTGGCCATAGATGTGCGCCGAGAAGACGTAGTCCAGCCTGCGGAGGTGAGCGTCATCCTACCCCCTATCGAGCCGAACGTCGTCCCGACCGCAGCCGAGGTGCCTTCGTCCTCGCCAACCGCACTGTCAACCGATGCCGCCGGGGGGCCACAATAGAGTTTAGAGTAGAAATATTCAATTTATGTAAAAGATGAATTCGTGGGGGAGCCCCCATGTGAACAGTTTTACATTCGTGAATTTTTTAAGTTCGTTTTGTGATGAAATCACTCATGAGGGGAAGCTTGTCCCGTCCGCCCTTGTTTTATCCTTGCGTAATTTGGTCTTTTGTCCTTTCCTTTTTGCACATGCTCGTTGACCCATAGGCTGCAACCTTAAGAACCCGTGCGTGGCCCACGAGGCTTAGCTACTCATAACCATATGTCGTAGCGGGGTGTGATCGGTCGGGAGGTTAAAACGCAAGTTACATAAGGTAATCAAAGGAACGGAATGCCCTTTCATTTGAGCGACGCACTTTTGTTTGAGCGAAAAGTGTTACTACATGATAGTAAAAAAAGAAGGGTGGTATCACACCCCCGTGGATCCCCTGAGCGACCCAGGTCGAGAGTGCTTGGGCTGGGGCCCTATATGAGCAAGCATTGAATGGAAATAAACAGTAAGACCGAGTTTTAGGGAAAGAAACGACATAACTGTTCGATGTTCCATGTGTTGGTGAGAACGTTGCCGTTGTCGTCCTTCAGCCGGTAGGCGCCCGGTCGGATCACCTCGGTCACCATGTACGGTCCTTCCCATGGTGGAGAGAGCTTATGTTTGTCCTTGGTTGACTGGGTTCTCCTGAGTACGAGATCACCGACCTCGAGGATCCTCCCCCTGATTTTTCTTTCATGGTACTTGCAAAGAATTTGCTGGTAATGAGCAGAGCGGATGATGGTCATCTCACGAGCCTCCTCGAGCAGGTCAACTGCATCCTGTTGAGCCTCCGTGGCTCGGCCTTGGTCGAAGGCCTTTACTCTTGGGGCGTCGTGATCAAGGTCGGATGGCAACACTGCTTCGGCTCCGTAAGGGGTGAACCCCATGGATTGGTTTGGGTCGTTCTTAGGCTCTAGAGGGTCGCTGGGACCTCTGCAACCCAATGCTCGGCATACTTTTTGAGTCGGTCGAAGATGCGGGGCTTGAGTCCTTGGAGGACCATGCCATTGGCCCATTCGACCTGACCGTTAGTACATGGGTGTCCGACCGAGGCCCAATCGATCCTGATGTTGTATCCGTCACAAAAGTCCAGGAACTTCTTCCCGGTGAAGTTTGTTCCGTGTGAAAGGTCCTAATGGCTAAAGGGGGGTGAATAGCCTATCAAAAATTTCTTCAACAACACTTAACAAACTGGTTAGACAATTAAGAGGCGAAGCAAGTGTTGTGCTAGCCTACTAAAAATACAAGCCACCTATCATAATTCTAGTTTATGTAGTTTCTATCCACCCAATAACTATGTCACTACACTAAGTTAGTGTGCTCTCAAAAGCTAACTAAAGAGCCACACTAACCAAACTAACAAGCTCTCACAACTAGCTACACTAAAGAGCTTGATAACTAGTTTACGGTAATGTAGAGAGAGTGAGCAAGATGGTTATACCGCCGTGTCGAGGAATGAGCCAATGAATCACAAGAATGGATACCAATGAAGACCAATCACCTCAAAATGAAATGATGACACAATGATTTTTTACCGAGGTTCTCTTACTTGCCAGCAAGCTAGTCCTCGTTGTGGCGATTCACTCACTTGAAGGTTCACGCGCTAATTAGCATCACACACCAAACCCTCTATAGGGTGCCGCACAACCAACATAAGATAAGGATCACACAAGCCATGAGAAATTCACTAGAGTATCTTTTGGCTCTCCGCTGGGGAAAGGTCAAGAACCCCTCACAATCACCACGATCGGAGCCGGAGACAATCACCAACCTCCGCTCAATGATCCTCGCTGCTCCAAGCCGTCTAGGTGGTGGCAACCACCAAGAGTAACAAGCGAATCCTGCTATGAAACATGAACACCAAGTGCATCTAGATGCAAACACTCAAGCAATGCACTTGGATTCACTCCCAATCTCACAGAGACGATGAATCAATGATGGAGATGAGTGGGAGGGCTTTGACTAAGCTCACAAGGTTGCTATGTCAATGCAAATGGCTAAGAGAGTGAGCTTGAGCCAGCCATGGGGCTTAAATAGAAGCCCCCACGAAATAGAGCCGTTGTACCCCTTCACTAGGCAATTTGCTGGGGATCGGACACTCGGTCGATCGACCGGACGCGCACCCTACCAACTCCGATCAACGGATGGCTGCCACGTCATCCCACTCTTCAAATACTAAGCGCCCGATCCCAACAGTCAAGTGATGACCGGACGCAGCATAGTGCCACGATCGGACGCAGGACACCAGCGTCCGGTCACTTCCAGTAAGGTTCCAGTTGCGACCGGACGCGTCAATTTGATCACGACCGGACACAGAACCCCAGCGTCCGGTCACTTCCAGTAAGCCTCCACTCACGACCGAACGCGTCCGGTCCTGCCCGATCGGACTGACCCAGCGTCCTATCACTCACTATCTCCTCTATGCGCTGCCACGTCAGCAGAACCGGACGCACCCCGCCATCATCCGGTCATGAAGTGACCCAGTGTCCGGTCGAAGACCAACGCCAGCGTCTTCACTGCTTCTACTGACCAGACACGCCGGTTCAGTTGAGACCAGCGTCTGATCCACTCTATAAAACCCTATCTTTTCTTTACAGGGCGCCGGTGGCACCATCGGACTGTCCGCACTCTACGGGCGGACACTCCGCCGGTGAAGTTTCTTACCCATGCTCAAATGTGTCAACCATCAAGTGTATCACCTTGTGTACATGTGTTAGCATATTTTCACAAATGTTTTCAAGGGTGTTAACACTCCACTAGATCATAAATGCATATGCAATGAGTTAGAGCATCTAGTGGCACTTTGATAACCGTATTTCGATACGAGTTTCACCCCTCTTAATAGTATGGCTATCGATCCTAAATGTGATCACACTCACTAAGAACCTGTTTGGCAGGGCTCCTTGCCCAGCGGCTCCGGCTCCCACTGCACTGCGCAACACTGTAGATCCCTATAGCAGCGAAAAAAATGGCTCTGGCTCCAGCACAAATTAACGGGAAAAGAGGAGGAGCCGGAGAAGCCTGCAATTGGGTGCCCCGACGGCTCCTCCACAGTGGTGCTACAGTAGCCGGGGCCGCCGGAGCCTCTCCAAATAGGTCCTAAGTGTCTCGATCACCAAAACAAAATGGCTCCTACAATTTATACCTTTGCCTTGAGCCTTTTATTTTCTTTTTTCTTTTCCAAGTCCAAGCACTTGATCATCACCATGGCAACACCATCGTCATGCCATGATCTTTATTTGCTTCACCACTTGGAATGTGTTACCTATCTCATGATCACTTTGATAAACTAGGTTAGCACTTAGGGTTTCATCAATTCACCAAAACCAAACTAGAGCTTTCACCGTGGTCGGTGATGATACAGTTAGCAATACCAAACCGATAGATGATGTCGAGTAAGAACTTGACCGCCTCTTCCGAGCGGATATTGGTGATGGGCTTCGCCTCTATCCACTTGGTGAACTTGTCCACCGCCACGAGTAGGTGAGTGAAGCCACCCGCGGAGCCTTTTTGAGGGGTCCGACCATGTCGATGCCCCAAACCACGAATGACCAGGTGATGGGGATGGTGTGAAGCTCCAATGCCGACAGGTGAGTTTGCCGAGCGTAGAACTGGCATCCTTTACACCTGCGGACCACCTCCTCTACATCTCGCAGCGCAGTGGGCCAGTAAAAACCTTGGCGAAAGACTTTCCTAACCAGCGACCTTGGGGCCGCGTGATGTCCACAGATTCTGGCATTGGTTTCGAGGAGAAGCTGTTTCCCCTGGTCGGTTGAGATGCACTTCAGGAGCACTCCCGACGAACTTCGCTGGTAAAGTTCATTACTAATGGCGACGAACGTCTTGGTGCGTCGAGCGATTCGTCGCGCTTCAATCCTTTCCGATTCGTCCCTTTTCAAAAACAACTTTCCACCATCTAGGATACAGCCTGTACTAGATGGTCCTCTTGATTATTGATTATGCGTAATGCTCCACTAGTGAATCCAAGCAACAATTGTTGGAGACTTGTGCAACGACCAACTCCTCCAGGACAAGAAGACAATTCATATTAGTACTATAGTACGCACTTGCTTTAGCGGAGCAGATGTTTCTTTGATTCCTTGAAATTGTGTATTATTTTCTAAAGGCATGTATAACTCTTCTTTCCAAACTAACCACACAAGCTAGAATATTGGATTATAATAATATTATTATCACAATGTTTCTGGCAAAACAGCTAGTTGAACTGAAATTCTGCAGAACATTACCAAGATATCTAGTTCAACAGTACTGTATGCCTTTTGAGATCTGAAATGCAAAAAAATCGTATCGTGTATCTCAGGTCTGAAAAGTCCTACACGCACCGGTTACAGAATGACAATACTTAGATTAATTTATACCTTCTTCGAATGCGTGGCCATCTTCCAATTCGAGTTCTTCAGCAAATGTCATTTCACTGTTTTGGGCTTCCACTTTGCTGCTATCTTCGGGTAGAGCCATTGGCTGGATCTGCATTTAGATTGGCATTTTCACAATCCCAGACAAGTGCCGGAACAGAGGCTTCCAAAAAAACAATATTCAGATGGACGGACACTTACTGTAGCCCTGGATGCTTCACCTCGCTCAACTGTGTGCTCCGCCATGGAAGGTCGTGCGGCCTGCTCGAAATCTGTTGCGCGACCGGCGTAGTTGATCTGCTCGCCTAGGGTCTTTCCGCCGCCAGCAAGTTGCCGGAGAAGAGCCGGCCGAGCTCGCACCTGCTTGCGCAACAGTGCCTTCCCATCCCCGTCGATTTCACTCGACATCTTCTGGAGGTATCGATTCTCGATTTGCTCTTCACCAATCTGCACTTGCGTGAGTGGGAGGTGTCCCTTGTTAGTGGAATCGCAATGGTGGAAAATGTTCTCCGCAGTTCCGCCTCCCTCTCCTCTTGAATTTCAATTTAGGACACCTGTAGCCTTTTCTATTGGCGCACGCGCCTAGCTGCAGCCCTGGTACATTTCCAAATCTGCCCTTCGTGGTTTGCTGAGATGCAGAATAAAAGAGGTATGTTAGTCTGCACGAATCTTGATGCCTGGGACATTTTGACGGCCACGATAGGCATGGTGGCTGCATATACATCCGGAAAATCCACTCTCATCTTTTTATTATTGCCATGATTTATGGTTCCGATGTCATTGTCATGTATTCCTGCGTTCCAAACGACACTTCCTTTTACTTTCCTTTGTTTTTTAATCCTCTGTTTTTTTTTGTCACGGTTCTTTCCTTCCTTTAGTTCAACAAAAAAAAACTGAGAGATAGCCTTATTATTGGGTGACAGGAAACGGAGACTGTATATAGGGGTAGGATTGGAATTGGAAGAGAGCAAGAAAACGATGGGACAGGAAGCGGAGTAGTCGAAGGATTAGAGACCAACTAATGTGACTGTTTATCTGCTTTACGTTTCACTGCCAACGCGGTCGGCTAGTTGGGGTTTGCTGCAATTCAGTTTGGGTTAATTACTGCGAGGGAGCCGTGATGATTTTCGTGACGGAGGCTGCAGTAGTTGGGTCTATGATGATGTGGCAGCGTTAGTTATAGAAGATGCCGCATCATCGTAGTAATTCTGAGTCCAGCAAACTTAGAGCTTGTTTGGAGCAAGTTGCCTGGGCTATTCATCTGCTTGGGAGCTACCCAGTGGCGGAGGGTAAAGCAAATTGAAGGGGGGGGCCAATTTTTTTTTTTAAAGTCAACTACAGTTAATATAAAAATGAAGTTTCAAGTGGATTTTTGTCTCCCCCTTCTTTTTCCCAACAGTCGATCTAGCATAATCATACCAAATTAACTAGCAACAACTATGAAAAAAATTGGGATCCAAGAAACACAACCTGTAGCAGCAAGAGGCGGAGGAGCGGACATCTGCACAACGACGACGGGCACCACGACGATGCGCCGCAAGCTTCGAATCGGTGAGTGTGTTACTCGGCTGTTGGCGGCCTGGGCGTAGCATTCGGAGATGCGAGCGCTGAATGAGTTCCATCGGGCGGCAATGGCGGCGGCGGTCGGCCACCTTGTTGCAATGTTGCTGGCTCGCTGCCCACGCGGCCACGCCCCACCACCAAGCCTTTGCGTGCGTGAGTGTTGGCTGATGGGTGGCGTGTTGGCCTGTTTTAGAGTTCTACTAGAATGGAGGCCTGGATAAGCACTGGGCCTTGCGAATTTCTAACAGGCCAGGGGGGGCCGGAGCCTAGTTTCGCCTCCACTGGGCTCCGTCCCTGGAGCTACCTGTCTTCACTTGCAAGAATGCCTGGCTAGGCAAAGCTAAAACATGCTATGTTGTTTGGTTGATGGCCTGAAAGTCAGCCTGAGCTGGTAGAGAAGCCAGGCATCATTTGGTTGTATAGCTTGCCTGGGTTGCACTCACTATTGTCTATGAGTGCCGAGTTATTACTTCGTATGAACCATTTCATTGCTAAAGTAATTTTTGATAAATGGATCATTTCACATCATGAGAACAAATAAACCAAATACCTGATATAAAATAAGTCATTATATTTTCAGAGAAGAACAGCACATTATGAAACAAATAAACCATGAACTCGTGTTCCGGTCATAAGTAATGAGCTCATATGAGCTCTATTCACATATCAGCCTGTTCGCTTGTTGGTTTCAGCCAGGGCTTATCAGCTAGCCAACAGTGTTTTTCTCTCACAACAAATCAGCACCAGCCGGGCTTATCAGCCTAAAAATCAACCAGCGAACAGGCTAATAATCTCTCACACAATGAGTTTTAAAGCTATAGGCTGACAAATATTACAACTTAAGATTAGATAATAATTCACAGATACACACAAGCATATCACATAGGCTGTCCCAAGAGTCTGAAACTTCTCCATAAATGTTAGCTACCTCTCTGACTATCAACTTTGTCAGCACCTAATTAGCATGTAGTCATACTGTACATATGATTTCAAAAGGGTGCAACAAAAACAGACCCCATCAGCCATAATCAAAAGAGTCATCACCAGAATCACTACCGGATAAATATTTGAACACCCAACACTCAAGGTATTCTTGACCCATATTGATAAGGAACCTGAGATGAACTTGAAATTATGGTTTGCAAAGGTGCATCCCTACTGCAAGCCTATCATTCGGTGGTAATGTGATCTTCTTGAGCATATCCCATAGACGACCATTAGGATCACGAGGAGGTGCAACCTGCACTGGTTTTGCAAGGTTCCGTTGGATACCTCGCAAAGCATTAGTTATCTGCACATCCATATCATCATCGACACAGGCAGGAGATGGTTTTGTGTTGGACTTGCTGGCCCTGCCAACCCATGCAGCAGCAGATAGTGTATTAGACTTGCCAACCCTTTTAAAATTTCTCTTGTTAGGCTTCATGGACTTAACACTAGATGAAGAAACTTGACTGCTAGCTGTAGCAAGGGCAGCCACCTCCTGACATTCATCACTATCAGACTCTAGTTCATCTAGCCTTGTTTGTCTCACCAAGTCACTGCTGAGCAATGGCCCATATTTTATTGGCAATTTTCTACAACGACGATGCTGGCGCCGTCGCCATTGGATAATGACCATGACAACCGATAAGACACTTAGCATCCGAGCTCTGTGCTGGATAACATAATCAGGAATCGGGTCTATGTCCATCTGAGCATCATGTGAAAAAAATAATGTAAGAAATAAATTCGCATGTAGAGATTTTTGCATGCCTGTCATTTTGTACAAGAACTGTTAGATAGCTTACTACTTTAATAAATTTATTAGATGGCAAGCGTGCACTTACTAATTCTTCCAAAAAGGTAAAATATAAAATATAATAATGAAAAGCTACTTCCATTGATAGGATAGCAGTACGCACATGCTAAAAGTAAGCCTAATTTCACATGCTGCAAGGGAAAAAAGATCGATCTGTTTGTTTAGCAAGAAAATAGTGAATAGGAAGTTACATCTGTCTATCAACTATCACAAGGAAACTAATCTATAAAGAGACAAAAATAGATCTGTATGGACCACGTTGTGTAAACTCAACCAAGACTAATTCACCCCTAAAAATAAGACTAATTCAGCGTATAGAAGAATGAAATAGAAGAAGGGAGATGGAAAAATAGAAAGGGATTTTGCTCTGACCTTTGTTGCACTGGATTTGAGAGCAAATCTGGAAGTCAACGAAGAAGCAAAATACGAATAAGAGAGGAGGCCATCAGATCTTTGCTGCACCAAGAGGATCACCCTGGAACATCCTCCCATCTTTATGGATTCTATTGTTGTTGTTTTTCCCTCTCTCTAAGAAGAATGCAAGTACGGAGAGAGGAAAGGGGAATATGAGAAGGGGACAACCCCCTTAGTACGTTGAATAACATGCTTGTCCTCAAAGAATGGATCGAGTTTAGGCAGGTGTTCTAGTATTTTCTTAGCTAGGAGTAGCACAGAAAGACATTCGGTTACCCATTCAATTCTGCCTCAACAATCAATTATAACAGATAGAACAGATCAATATTTGTGCGAACCAGATCCGGTTCTCATAGGATGGATCCTTTCCAATATTTAGGCGAAACATGGCAGACTAGATTTAATGCTTCATAACTTGTAACGGTTTCAAACAAAATTTTGAATAGCCCACATTTTACATTGACCTTTTCACAGTAATGTTCAAGGGGTCATCAAAGAGATCATATCTACTGTACGACTGGCACTTCCTAAGCTTGTTTTCGTGTAACGAGCAAAAATGTGATCCGGAGCTTGGGATTCTCCCCAGAGAACACGGGAAAATTGAACTTCGACAACTTGCTACTGGAGTATTGAGGACCCAAATGTGTATATCGATCACGAACTCCCTCGATATCAACAACAAATAAACGATCATCAGTAGTAATCTGTGGACTCGAAAGAGAACGACGCAAATGGGGAATGGGTTTAGGGAACGGGTGGGGTTTGAAATTGAGCGTACCCTTGACCGGAAGTGGAGTCAGAGACTCAAACTCCCAGTGACGTGGTTCGACGCGGTGCCCGACAACAGGGCTTGTATTTGGGTGTCCAATGAACGAAGTCGCCAAGATCCTGCCACCGGTTATGCCAGATGCCGAAGCCACCATGGTCGGTGCGCGGCTTGAGCACCACCACCCTACCGACGGACTTCGCGCAATGCCGTCATCTCTTCGCGCATCTTCTCAATCACCCCTCTCACGCTTCGCAGGTGCGACCTCGGATCGGAGTTCCTCCACGAGGCGCATCCACGAAAGACAGCCAATCGTCGAACACCTAGACGGCATCCTCTACGCGTCCGAACCGATCAGAGATAGAACGGTCCATGGCGGAGATCCAACTACCCAGGGAAGCCTCCACGACGCCGACACGGCTCTCGACACCGTTCACCACGGCCTTCACAGACTTGATCTCATCGAAGCAGAGCTAGAAGTTGGAATCCATGGCGCTGATTGCTTGCTTAAATCGAGTAAAGTATTCATGGTCAATTAGGTGCGGCTCCAGGGTGGGCAGGGGAAAATTGCGGTGGATAGAAAGGGTGGGTTGAGGAATTCGTAGGCTCTGATACCAATTTTGTTAACAACAAATTAAGAAGGAACAGAAGAATTGGAATCTAGGCAGGGAAGAACAGCAAAGGGGAACCGAAATAACGACGAGTTCTTAGTAGCAGATGGTTTTCGTTACAATAGCTGATAACCCCTTCTACAAGAAGATACTAGCCTATATAGCAAAACACTCCACGCGGCTTCAGAAGCAACGGCGCGCACGCCCTCTGTTGCTGGGTCACTTGGATATCCATTCCGGCCCAGTGTAGCGTGGATTGCCAGTCTTGGGCCTCTTCGGCCTGTCTTCCTGTGGCCCATCTGAAGCCAGCGTTCCAGCTGAAGCCGAGCTCTGCGCCTGATAAGTGTCAACTGATGTAGTGCTGACAGTAAAGATCAAGTATCATGAAGTTCAAGGGTTGTCTTGTGACGGCAGTGAACTCTGAACATATTCAATTGCCTTCTGCTGCACAAGCTGAATTCTTTCGTTGTCTTGACCCAGTGACTTCTCGAAATTAAGGTACTTCTTGAACAAGAACTGCGACAGTGAAGCACACAGCATTTAGCATAAAGATCAAGTCCCAAAGAACAAGTGACATCTTATTATAATTTTTTACCAGAAAAACATAGTGAAGCACAAAACCATAACAGAACAAGTAACAATCAATCCAAGACTAATTCAAACAATCATGTCAGTGTTACAGTAAAAAGAACAAAGATGCTAGATTTCATGACAGAAACACAACTAAGAAATAAGCCAACACCCATTTCAAGGTTGAGTTTTAGCAAAGAAATGTAACATAAAGCAAAATAGGTAATATTTCGCTCATATGAAATCAAGTACACACAAGAAGTTGAAAGCAGCATGATGACAGAATCACTGAGTGAAATTTATCCACGTATTTCACAATACATATAAGGCAGCAAAATACGCAAACAATTGGAAAGGAGCCATACCTGCATCTTTTTTGGAGGTAGGGTAAGACAAGTCACCCTCTCAAACAATGCCCGTATAACTTCTATGTCACCAAGGCGGATTTCCTACAAAAGGTCAATGTATGTCAACAAACTTGCATGATTTGAAAGAATAAAAAGTACAGATGCCATTTTGATGAATTTAATGCTCCTTACTTGGTCTAGATAAACACTCCAAAGGTCTGTTCTTTTGGGTACTCCATAATATTAGTTCAAATCTGGATCTTCCTTCTTCAGGCACCCCACATTTGAATTCTAGAATAGCTGTCTGTGAGAGGAACTTTATGCGCTTTCTATGTGGCAAACTTAGAAGCGCACGGTTTACAATGGCTTTGATGTACTCAACATCCTTGCCTTGCTTGAGGGCGAACTGAATGCGGCATAACCATATCTGCAGTTACATTATACAGGTCACAAATAGGATCTCCAGATACGAATAGGGCATACTGAATGTGGCATAACCTTATGGTTTCAACTCAAAAAAAAAATTACAAACTAACCTTGCAGGAAGTTTTGAACCTTTTGGTCATTCTGTCTAGAAGTTCATCTGCAAGTTCGTACTGTTCGGTCCTCTCGTACATCGCAAGAAGAGCCAAGTGCAACTTTTTGGGATCACAATATTGCAAGGCTCTTTGAAATACCTTTTTCACAGCATCCTGTGGTGTACACAATCAAGTGTCTCAGTATATCCAAGTACAGCACAGCAACCCAAAATACATCATTATTCAGCTTTACCTCCCGTGGACCACCGTATTCATTTTCCAGATTGAAATATGCTACCCAAACATTAAGTTTCTCCTCTTCTTCTCTGGGGATTATTGTTTTTAAAGCCCTAAAAACATGAGAGACAGTTGTAAAAGATGATGACAAGTGATGCATCCAAAAAGTTTAAATAAACTAACAGAAAAAGGACAAACACGTATCATCTGAATTGACAGAAACAAAAGGAAATTTTTGAAAGGATGTTTCAACAAGTAAATTCTACATCCTTCGAAAATGAAACCAACAGAAGACCAAATCAGATCTATCAACACTATTAAGATTATAGAAAGCAACTTCCTATCACCAAACATCTTTTCAATATTAAAAACAAATGTTTTGAGCAGCAGACAGACCTCTCAGCTACTGCACGTGCTTTCTCAACATCTGCAAGATCTAACAAAGTGGCCATATATTTTATCCAGACAAAACTACTATTTGGGGAGCTCCTGACCAACTTCTCAAAATCATCTGGAGTTTGTGGTACATCTCCCTGCAAAGCCCTTTCCTCCATAGCACTGATTTCTAGTTCCCTGTTGAAAACCATAGAAGGATGTAAAGTTTGATGCATATGTCAACAAAATAAGGTCACAGAGTAGAATCAAATGTCTGAATACCTTTGTTTTCTTGCTTCCTTCTTTAATTGTTTATCATTCTTTTTAGCATTTGCTTCAGTTCCATTTGCAATTTCAAGACCTTTATTATTATTATCCTCCTCTAGGTCAGAACCTTCAGATTCATCCAAGGAAACCTGAAGAGGCGGCACAGAAGCCATTGGTTTTGCTTTGCGATGAACTAAATTTCTGTTATGATATTCAACCATCTGAGGGGCAACACTGATGTCCATAAGAGCACTTTCATCATCTTCATCATCATTTGTGTCAGCAGTCAGATCAGAATCAAAGTACGACTTCTTCATTCCAAGTGATACTCGATGCCGCTTCTCATCGATCTTTATTTTAAAACAAAATAATGAATTTTAAAACGTGCAATGGCAAAATGAAAATCCTGAAAAAGATAAACCTTACCTTCAGAATTTTGGCTTTAACCATATCACCAGCTTTATAGCAAGAGTTAATATCAACGACAGGTTCATCAGAAAGTTCTGATACATGGCACAAACCAACCTGCAAAAGAGTATTTACAAAACAGAATACACAATGATTTCAAAAGGCTGAGTCTAGTGATAACAATGTACCAGTTCACTTCTCCGAATTGTAACGAATAATCCAAAGGATTCAACCCGCTTAACTTGGCCATCAATGATATCCCCAACATGCAAATCACTATAACTAATATCATCCAGCTTTTCCAATTTGGAACCAGTGGTCGTCCTAAGTGAAACCTCAACTCTCCCTGATGATGGGTCCGTAGACAGGACCCTGCAGATTTTTGTTAGTTTCACAGGAGAACATATCTGTAATTTATATGAGCATTTGAAAATGGTAAGATCTCACCTTCCATGTACAAGCATTCCAACAGGGAAATCCTTCTGCGGATTTTCAACATACTCATCTGACAAATTTGATAGAGTAATTCTAGCCTCAACCATTCGAGAAAGCATAATAAAACATCCTTTAGAATTAACATTCTTCACATAGCCCTAGAATTTTAGCAGAACAAACCATGTCACTTCACATTACAGAAGATACACTTAGTAGTAAATGGTAAAAAAAACACGCCTTTATTTATCAAATATATTCACCGAAAAAACTAAATTCAATTTATTTATGGCTAAACTCGATTCACTAGCTTGTGCGCTCTTTTTCTGTCTTGGCTGCCGGTTACATGCAGCTATTTTCCACCTTTCACCTATATATACAGGTTTTAGTTCGAGCAAAAAAATATACAGGTTTTGTCTTCCTTTTCTGTAACTCCTTTTCTCTTCATTCTTTTTTTAATAAAATGCACAGTAGGGGACTCCCCTACTGTATTTCCCCTAAAAAAAACTAAACTTCAATTCATGGCATACTACAACTTCAGCAATGACAATTGACAGGTACAAACAAAAAGTTTAATATCAGTTGAAGGCAACCTTTGGACAATAGGTAAAAAACACAGATGTTCTGGTACAGCATATAGGGAATTCACCCAGAATTATACTATGCAAGTTTACCAACACTATTTACAGCTTTTTTTTTTTGTTGGCAAGTAGCAGATTGTGTTTTTCATGAATGATAAATCCAATATATGTTTAGATAGTGCCTGAATTATAGACTTGTCTTATTCACATGTTAAATTATGTTTATTGCACAGAACTTCAGATAAAAGTAAAATAGCACAAAAATTGTGAAAAATACCTTAATCTCTGTTCCGGGAAGCAGATCCTTGATCTTCTCTATCCGGGAGGTACAGATTGCCCTAAGAAACAACAATGATACATGATGTAAATGACAATGGGAATGCTACATATACTTTCTGGACAATGTAACAACAATCGTAGGGCCTGCTTGGCTGTGTGGTTGTGCCTCAGGATTTTACCCCCAAAAGGGAGAGATCTGGAGCTAATGCTTCATACACAAAGCCAGTTTGGAGTACCGTTTATGTTTTTTCATGGAAGAGAACACTTAACACATAAAATAGCATTGTTCCTTAATTGATGAAAAAAAAACATGGGCTCTAGCACTTACAGATCATCAACTAGTCCTGAGTTGTTAGAGTCTCTGATCAGGTTTGATGAACGGAGTGATAAATCAACTCGAAGTGATCCTTCTGATGAGCGGCTCACAGACAGGACCTTGCACTTCACAAACTGGCCCTCATGGAATCCAGACAATGGTTCGGCCACCCATGAGTCAACAATTTCAGTATAATGAACCCTCCCATGGAGATGAGGTCCAATCTGAATGACAAGCCCACCAACACCAGGTAGAATTTTTTGAACACGTCCCCCGATGATATCTCCTTGTTTTGTTTGTTCAAACACAGAGGACTTTGATTGTTGTATTTCATGTATATTCGATTGTGTGCATTAGATTATCAAGTGCCTTCAACCGAAGTAACCTTTTCTCCCGGTTCACATTGATAACACGGCCTTTCACTGCTTGGCCTACACTAAAGCGCTGCTGGAATTCTTTCAGTTCGCTGGGCTCAGAAGAACTATCAAGTACAAATAAATGAGCCATAACATTTCTTGATACAGTTAACCAGACCCATTCCTTATCCACCTTGACAACATAAGCACGTACAATCTCATTTGTGGTGTGCTTTTGTTCTTTTTGAGCAGTTAATTCTTCAAACTCTCCTGTTTAATTTCAAGTAAAAAAAAAAGATCCAACAATAAGAAAAGTTAGTCATCTCAAAGATTAAGAAACACAAAAGGGTATACAAAATGCAAAGCAGTCAGCATATAGGATTTTAGCTTTGGATGAACTGAATGAAAGCTGTAAGATCTATATGAGATGATTGTTTATCATGGAATAGACAAATTAAAAATAGACATTAAAGCATACCCTTGACTATACATGGCCTAATAGACAATTCCCATTTGAAGTTTTTGCCACTCTTTCCAGAAGGTTCAGCCACTGCAACAATTCTGGCAGTAAGCTTTTGCCCTATTCTGAGTTTACTAAAGGGATGCACATCAGAATCCTCTTCAAGAACCTATGAGAAATGTATCACTAATTAGTAATTAGCCAATACATATTGTTATAAGAAAGGCATCTCAAGCAATGTCTGGTGTTCACCTCAGTAATATGGATTCTTCCATGAAGATTGCCACCAAATTGCAGTAGAAGTTCAAGCGGCTTGATATCAATAATCTGATGTCCAAAAAGGATTTGTGTAAGCAAAGTTTGAAGACATTGAAGACGAAAACAGTTACCAATTTTAGGATCATAATTGAAAATAATTGCACCTCTGCTTCAACAAGTGACCCAATTTTGTAGCCTGATTTCTTCTTAGCCCTTTTAGATTCAGAGAGGGCAGAATACTGAGCTGAAGCTTTTGGTAGTAGGATAAGTCTTCCAGAAGAGTCAGAACTTGGGATATTTCCAACAACCACAGTAATGCTTCAAAAAGAAAATAAACACAAAGAAAAATAAGAAAACAAGTAGGTAACGTAGTCCAGATAAGAAATCACTCTTCTTTATTGTTCTGCACTCAAGAAAAGTACAATCTTTTCTAACACAAAATATCATTCTTCTTTATTGTTTTGCTCACATGTTCCTGCTTAGGCTATGATAGTTGCAAGCTCGAGCAAATATTAGCTGGGATCACATGAGCAAAGCTCATTTATACATTAGATGCCCATATCAATAGACTAATTATAACATTCTTCTGTAGTGATAAAGCTGCTATTCAAAATCAATTTATGTCAAGACTGATAAAGTGATAAGCCTGTAACCCTAAATGAATTTATATCAAGAGATTAATTATGACATTGTTCTGCACTATCTAGTACAAATAGAAAGGTTCAAGTTTCCACAGCATTTATGTCAAAGCCTTCCAGTAAGGGGTACTCAGATAGTAGCAGATATTTCGTCCAGTTGGAAATATAAGTCCATAAAGGTTTGACACAGTTTAAACTTTTTTCAACTTTGAGTAGTAATATTTATACATAATAATTATCTTCAATGAAAAGGCTTATATATTAACATATTATGAAAGAACTATTACAATGATTACAATGTATCTAGTAATGCTGAATTGCTGATCTTCCCTTGTCAATCTATATAAAATTTTACATATTGATGATCAATGTTAAAAGAGGTTGACCTATGACTATGACAAACTTTGATGTTCTTATATTTCCCATCGGGAGAAGTATGTAACAAGGCAAGAATTCGAATCAAAATGGGCAAACTTCCAAATATTACCGTTGTCCATTATCATAGTGGTGGTGGGGAAGCAGTTGTGAGTTGTAATCCATCAGTGGTGCAAAACCAATTGCGTAATTGTACTCAGGTATGGAAAGGACCTGGATTAAACAAAACAACAACAAAAAAGTAAATTGCAATCAGCCTACAATTCAACAAACAAATTGGTCAATGAAGAGAGTAATTTACACACCACATAGCTCTCTTTGATTATTTCCACAACTGCATTCACTTCCTCATGAAGCTCCAACTCTGCAACTGCAGCCCTTTGGCGTTTCTAAAGTGAAACAGGATATATAATGTAAAGTTATGATAATACATGAAATAGAGATTGAATATATAGTTTCAAAAACTGCATATCGTGCTTACTAAAGGTGACAATAAAAAAATGGGGATTGAGATCCGGATAAAGTTGTTACAATATGATACAATGTTATAACCTCCAAGGGCATGCCTGGCCAGGTATACTAACAACTTCACACCAAGGCTACAAACATTACCTTCTTTTTTCCAACATTTCTAACACTGCCAATTAGCTCTGGTTTAAGGGACAAGTTAACAACTCCATCAGATAAATCCAAAACAAGGCCCTTAACAGAAGATCCCATTTCCACACTACTGCCACCAACTGTAACAATAGAAAAAGATAAAAATTGGCAGGATTGCGGGTTGGATAGTTAATATCATGAAAGGACAAAATTACTTACGTTGATGGTGCTCGATTAAGCCAACAACATCCGGATGGTCTTTGAAGTTAAGGATAATACCATATTCTTCTATTGCTCCCACCTCCCCCTCAACTAAGCTACCAATGCCAAAAGTGTGAGCCCAATCATTGCTTGAGTACTTCAATGCTGCAATCTATATCAGAGGTAGCCACAAATGATAAGTGCATGCTAAAACATCATTATCAATAAGCTTAACATATCAACATATGAAATTTTATCTTCAGAGTTACTGGCAGTGGTATTTTGATCTAAGCTAAAAGTTATTGAATAAAATACCCTACATGAAGACCCACAGCAAACTCACACGTCCTAGATTATCTTGTAGGAGACAAATAGGCCACATCTATCACATATGCCAGCAAATGAGCAAGATGCCCTGAGAGTACACATAAAAAAAAAAAAGGAAAGTAGCATCCGGACAACTACATACAGTAACATGATACAAGAAAATAGCCATTAGTTACACATGTCCCAACATTCCCACAAGAAAACTGTAACTACTTAGCAGGTTCCACAAAATCTCACATGCCCACACATCGAAGCACTATTATTACAAGCTACTCCCTCCACTCCAAATTATAAGACGTTTTGGTTTTTCTAGATACATTGCTTTTGTTATGTATTTAGACATACACTATATATAAGTGCATAGCAAAAGCCTAGAGAAGCCAAAACATCTTAATTTGGAATGGAGTACCATAAAGTTTTCGAAACTTCTATTCAACAGAGTAAGAGGTAATTGTTTCCATTATAACCTTCTGATCCAGAAGAAAGTATCCTTGAATAAATGAAGAATCCGTTGAGGAGCACATTGACTGTTGAAGTGCGAGTTTTACTCTAGCAGTTTCAGCATTTACCTGCAAGGGGAGGAACAAAAAAAAATTTAGAAGAACACAAGTAATAGATGACAACAAATATATACCAACAATTATGGCATACGCTGAGTATATGACTCCGAACTGACTGGCCAACATAGAACGCATCAGAAAGCCTTTCTATCCGCCTATCAACTGCCTTTGTGAAACAAGAAAAATTAGACATTCTTTTCAAATCAAAAAAACAAAAAGAATGACAGAGCTGAAAATTTCTTACTTTGTCCTTGGGAGAGAAACCAGTCAAATGTCCGAGAAAACGGACGAAACAACCAGCTTCGATAATGTTGCAGATGTAACCCTAAGATAAAATAAATGTCAGCTGAGTTGCTCATCTTAGGCTAAGCAAAAAAAAAAACTAGAGAAAGATTACATGAACTACAACTCCAGGATGCATCTGCGATATCTCTGAAGGAATGTCATTTGCGCAATTGATAAGTGAGTGCTTTGCCGAAAGAACTAAATTTTGACCTTCAATATCTGCAGACGGGTATTAGAAAATCAGATGGAAAAATTAGCAATGTGATCAAATATCCATCTGACAACAAAAGGTGCATCATCATTAGCAGTGCAAACAACTGATTGTATCGTGAGGTCATGTACAGACCATGATAAGCTACAAGTGTGCATGCAAAACAGTGAACTTCCTACTTGCCATTGTGAAATTCTGCACATTGTTCATAAACTATACATGGTAGTATGGTACTCCCTCTAGATATACAACAGTTTAGAAAGTGTATTCTAGATCCTCCATCAGTTCAAGAAAAATTGTACTGGCCATGACGTAATGACTTTAGATTCTTTTTTTGCTATCATTTTTATAACATAACTGTGTAATGAATGTCCAAAGCGTCAGATGTTTATTAACAGAAGAAAAAAGGGATGTTCTGTTTTTTTTCAAAGTGCATTGATAGCAAATGAAGTTTGTTGACTTCACCGAGAACTAGAAGTTGGTTGAACTCGTGCCCAGGTTTCAGCAAATTCTTCACCTTAGCAGCTTGACCTAATAGGAAAAAACAGACCATGGTCAGTAGAGCAGTAATGTTATATGAAATATAAACAGCAACAAAGAATATGAGTGTGAACCCACAAGGGAAAACTATTGATGCAATAGGTTACATGCAAATCATATAGCAGATGAGGATATACCATGATGGTCTGCCAAATGTTCATTTAGTATTGTCCCCTTGGAGAAGCCATTTACACTGACAACAACAGCTGCAGGAGTAAGCCGTTCCACAACACCAGAGACAATACTACCCAACTTTGGAGTGTCTATTGGAATAACCCTACATGGGGCAAAAATAAATGCAAAGAGGATAAAAGTTAGATTATAAATCTACACATCAGGAAAATGACAATTCTGGATATTCAGTACAAGTTCAAAAACATAGCAAAGAACTAACACCATCCTTGTTTTTTCTTGTTAAAAGATGACAAGCAAAATGACAGAAAATGCTCTATGAGTGAAACAATAAACTTCAAAGAAATTCTAAAAAATACATGTAAAAATTAAGGCAACAATTACAGCTCGTCATGTCAAATAAGGGCAGATTATTAATAGAACATAAAAATAGTAGAACAAAAGCGCATGTAGAGAACTCACCTATTATGGGATATGACAAAACTAACATTTAGTTTCCTTGAAGCAGGGATCACATTGATAATTCTACATTTGACCACTTGACCAACATGATAAACATTTTCTGCTTCAGTTCCAGCCTCTAATCCAAGGTCAGATCTAGTATCAATTTACCCATCAAGAAAGCAGATGATTCAGAATCATATCATATAAAAAAAACTGTGATGAAATATCTATTTACTAAAATAATGGTGCCAAGAACAGCACAAGACCAGCAACCCTCAGAGACAGATACACAATTCAAAAGTAAATAAATGCATCTTTCACTATTGATTATCTAAAAGTTTGTAGAGAAATCTAATTTGATTTACAACACCAAGCTGATCTGCTTCAGAAATAGGAAATGTGATACTAACCTGCTAACAAAACCCTGAACTCCATTGTAGAATTTTACAAAGCAACCGTGCTTTTCAATTTTAGTAATCCATCCATGAGTCACTAAACCATTTTTTGCATCAGCATATGATGCTAGCACATCAAGTTTTGATTTCACCTGAAATAGATCCATAGTTATACTACTGGACAGTCTCAGAGAAAACAAAGAATGCATATAAATAGGGATATGAGCTCTATCTTCATTATTCTAAGCTAGAGAAAAACTAGGAAGGATTTAAAAACAATATCATGTACTGTTGTATATATTATACCAGAATTCATAGAAATTCTTAAGGTAAGAGCAAAGTACCAGAGACTTCTTGTATGTCACTGTAACTCTCTTGGATTTGCAGCCCAATACACGGAAAAGAAGCTCAGCTCCAACCTACACAAAGAACAAAGTTAAAGTTCATTCATCATCATATTCAACATCTCTTAACATAGTTTCCCAAAAAAAACATCAAACAATTGGAAGTGGAAATGAGCAACCTTAAATTTCTTTGGTGGTTTCACAACATATTCCAACTCTGACATGTGAGGAAGCGGGCAAAGTGCTTTCACACCACTTGAAAACTGTACAATAGCACCGAATGGCTCAACAGTAGCAACCTTAGCTCTCACTAACATTCCAGGTTTAACATCATCATGAGTGAAAACAGACCCTTCAAAAGCACTGTCCTGCAAACACAGAGAGCATAGAGATCCTAAGGCAATGATTCAACAAATATCAGTAACCTATATTATCATGTAAACATGGACATATACTAAATATGCATGTTCACAACAGTGCAAGTCTTCTAAACCATATGAAAACCAATTAACAGATTGCATTATTGCAACTCCTATATTACCATGTAAACATGGATATAATATACATGCATGTTCACAACAAATTCAAAAGGCATGAGTCACCAAACCGATGCCAAAAGTTAAATGAAGTGACATGAGCTATGAAAGATAAAATAAAAGAAAGTTGCTCAGTATCTTTGTTGAAAATTAAAAATTCAAGTGAAATAAATCAGGACACAATAGTATAAGTGTGCCACTAGCATTCCTTTTGACGAATACCATTGCTTAAAAAAATAAGTGACGTGGTGTAATGTAATTACTTTTACGGTGCCTATTGCAACTCCTTCAAGATTCCGCACTCCAAGTATACGGACACGTAAGCTACTGCCTTCCTTAAACTTGTCCAAGTTTTTTGCATCCTTGTCTGACACATCATGTATCTGAGGATCAGGTTACAATATCAGCATATTAAGAAGCATCTTTGTGAGAGCTTTCACATCATTCAACAATGAGTACAATAAAATATTCACTACAGTTTCACATACACTAATAAATCCAGGTGATGGAGTTGGAGAAGGTATTTCAAGAAAAGACCAGCCTTTTATCTACCCTCAGCACCTTTGATTTATCGTAGATATCTCCAGCTTTTAGATTCTGCATGAGGAAGAATTACCAATAAAAAAGAACACTGAATAAAATAACAGCACTTCTATTTTCTACAGAGGCCAACTTTACAGGCATAAAGGGGTTATCATGCCAAAACAGACAACTTACAATAGGGGTACTTCAAGATGAAGTAAATGTTTGTTCAATGTAAGCCCAACTGCTCTTGTTGATGGATCAACGAACAGGATGCGAGACATTTACCTGTAAATTATAGTGGAAGTACTCAGAAAATCACTCCAGATATCCAATATCGTAAAAAAACATCAGACTATCAGAGATGTTGCAAAATTGTAGGAGCCACAGACACAACAATTATATCAACAAAAAAAAGAAGAAAATAGTGAATACCTTCTTATTCTTACTGTAATCATCTTTCCAATTACCAGAGGGAAAGGAATTCAACAAATTAAAAATATCAACCTGACAATAGAAGGAACACACTGTGAAATGAAATACAAATGCTCCTGTAAAGCCAAAAATGAGTCTAGTCTGTGAAAAATAGCTTACTGTTCCACTGAAATAAGTAAAAAATGATAACATGACTCCATTTTCAAGAACTGAATGGATGCGTGCATTAACCATCATCCCAGGGATCAAATGATCAATAGAAAGGCCTTTCAGATCCTTAATCTATACAAAAACAACAATAAACCACAAATTAGAGGTGTCAGGTCCCAATCAAAATAAAGAAGATATTAAATAGCATTTATAGTGATTTGCCATACAATAGATTTAGAAAGCAAGTCTTTATCAAAACTCAAGTGAACAATAGCCCGAGTTTTGTCAATCGCCTTCACAACACATTGCATCAGTTGTCGGCGCTCAATCTTCACATTTTCTGTACAAGAGAACAACAGTTAAACAACTCCCTGAGTACCACCCTAGAAAGAATATCACGATCAGCATTAGCAATGGGAGAGATCAAACAGAGTTCAAGTATATGGCCCATATTAAGCAAGACAAATAACACTAATGTTTATCCTTCTAGCAAGCATATAAATCTATAGAGAGCAGCTTAAAGTTACATAAGTAACACCACATCATTTTATATACTCCACACTATGCCTTATAAAAGTGCATGAACTACAAACATGAAGACAACAAAAGAAACTCTAAGAACTAAACTGTTTTTATGCATAAATACACCAAAAAGAAAGCATATGAGAGAAGGGTCAGATCATTTGTATTTTCGCACAAAATGTATGTTTAGAATATTGAAACTGTATGAAACAATATAACCACAAGCTCATAAGCTACCAAGCCTGCTAGAACAGGAAGTCCAGTCCAAACTAAAACAGATAGAAAGAACTTCAAGATTGCTAGGCAAAATTTATATGTTATCAGGGGCGCAGTCTAATATGAGCAGGTGCTATTAGAACATCAGCTAGTGAAATCAGTTATATAAATATGTCATGAAGAAACACCAGTATTTCACGATCTGATGAATTTATTGCTTAGTGTACCTTTGTCATCCTTTTGCATAAATCCGCTAAAGGAGGATACTCCAAAATGAAGAATGTAACCATGGTCCTCAATGCTTTTGACTTGGGCAGTAAGTACCTAATGAAACGCATACATGTGCATCCATTACATAAAAGATTTGACTCAGAATCTAACTGTTTCCAATGGGAACTACTCCCTCCATTCTTTTTGTTTGAATGTTTTTGATGTTTCATGTTCCCTGTGGTGTGACTTTGGCCTCTACCTTCTATAAATTTACATCAATATATAATAATAAAATAACACTTTTGTGGATGCATTTCTAGTAATATAATTTTCACACAGCAAATCCCGATATAGCTTTAAAGTTTAAATGCATCAATTGTCAAATTTTAGGAAGTTCGACAGCCAGGATTTTAGGAAGTCAAAAAAAATAGCAGGGAGCATAAAACAGGCCTACAAAGAAAAGGTTAAGTAAATCTAGCATACTGCAGATCAAGTAGTAGTAATCAGGTAGCAAAAAAATCAATATAGTCAAGCATGCCCTGTCAAGCTCCTTGTTTTCGATACGGTTGCAAGACTGTTAACACCTCCGCATATGTAGACTCAGTAGTCAGTATAGATATCAAAGGAACAAACCGATTTATTATAAACAAACATTTAGTTAGATAAGCTCAATAATTTATTGAAAAAACTGGTAAACTCCACAAATAGGGCAGGAGGGGGTTGGGAGGGAAGGAAGGTGCATGTGACCATGTCTCATGGGGCAGGGTGAGGAGGAAATGAGATTCTTTAAAAATGGTGAATGTTCCCAATAGCCTGTTAGGATTTTTTTTCACTATAAAACTGGATCTGATCTTTTCTGGGTGTATATGCTCCTACAGATATTAGCAAGCTTTCTAACCAGTTATTCTGATTTTGCATGTAAATTTTGCCCCAACTTTTCTTCAGAAAACATGCTCCATTTACAATTTCAGTAGAATAATCAAATCATTTAATCAAGAACCGAACACTCGAATGGTTGTGAATTATAATATAAAAATATTAAGGACAGAGGTGCACAATGAAACAATCATACATAGTTGATATTTCTCTGCCCCAAAAGCTCAGCTTATGAAGCACATCCAGATTAGGGTGATTAAAAATTACCATTCCTTCCTGCAAGCCATCCAGGGAAAATCCCCTGTACAGTACGCTTAATCGCAATGATAGCCAAACCCGTCTGTTTACTTTTCCTTCTTTCTTATCATCGTCAACTCGTAGGACTATACAAGGAACAAGCTGACCAACATGAACAACTTCTGCACATAAACTGTTCTCACTATCCTGCAAAAGAACAGTATCAGTTGGTTCACCAGATGGCAAATCACTGACAAAGAAATATCAATTATGGACTACTTAAAAAGAAAATATCTACCTTACGATTTTCCTGCAAAGCAATGTCGCACACATCCTCTGAGCGAACAAACCCTCTAATTCCACCAGGTAGACTTAACACAATATCTTTCTGGTTAACCTCAATTACAACACCCCAGAGCTTCATATTTGGTGAAATATTCTGACAAAGGGAGGGAAATGTCATGACCAGTTCAGCAATATAGCAGCATTTTGTGAAGGATTTAAAGACAACCAACAATAGGAGATCCCAGAACTGACCACTACATGTCCATGTTAACATGCTCTCAATAAATAGATACAGATAGTACACATAGCTGACTTAAAATAAGGGCATTTGGTACCAACCTGAGGCCAGTCATCACATGTTCCAAAATCCAAACATTTCAAGGTAACAAATAAGAATAATCACACTAACACCACCCAATACAAAGCTAGCGATATATAACCTAGACATCTCGTTCAAAGGACCAAATGGCAACCCTGTCAGCCTCAACTAATGCAATAACCAATGAGTGATCCGTATGTAGCACTACATCACCTTAATCTTAATGCACATCGAGGTGCATAACTTATACAATATTCCAGCAACTGCAAATGAAACTGTCTAAAACAGGCTAATCCATAAAGCTTTTATGGAGACCGTTTAGTTCAAAAATATGACAAAGGTTGGATGGGAAGTGCATCAGTATATGTGCTGCAGGGTTTGAATGGTCATCTGAACCATCTGAAACACTTCCAGGAATAACAATGGCAAATATATTTGCTCTCACCAGCTATTCGTTAGACCAAACATGCCAGAGAAGTTCAGTGCAAATTGACAACATAAGAATAAAATACTAGCTCCTTAAGCCATTGAATAATTGGAATGGGCAGGGAGTATAGCCTGTAACAAGGATGACAGAGGGCCAGGGTCAAGCCCTGGCAGCTCTGCACTTGGTGGAGAAGAGAGGTAGAGCCCCACGTACCAATAATTCTGTGTTTATTTGGACGAGGACAGAAATAGACAATTAGTCTTAACCATGGTTATTAAGAAATTGTTCAAGTGTTGCTTAAGCATCAGATCGGTCTAGGATCGCCACAGAGGCCCTTCGTCTTCTGGCGTGTGCGTCACCCCATCGATTCCACCGTATCCCCCTTGATTCTGCTGCTGGCCCGTTCAATTTTGCTTGTAGCCCTGCTTGGCTCTGCTGCTGCTATCTTGATTTCGCTGTCTCACAACTGTCAATCCCTTGATTTGGAAGGGGGTGTCAGCAGCAGTCGATCTTAGGGGCGGGAAAGGAGGGGAAGCAGCAGAGAGGAGAAGGAGAGAGAAAGTGAGTGAGAGGGGCAGAGGTGCAACTGCGGCGCTGGAGATCAGGAGAGAGGGTCATATACAGGTTCACGCCAGGAGGGGAGGGGCACATGGGCTGGTCTAGCCCACTTTTTACTCCTCCTGCTTACTTTTTTCCTTATTTTCCTTTTTCTCCATCCTCCGAGGCTCTACCCTGCTATTTTGCATTTCCCTTCGAGTGGTAAGGCATCGCCTCGGCTACCCTCACACCTTAGCTGCTTACACATAAGGCAGTAGTCAGTCGCCATGCCTTGTCTTACCACCTCGATAACCATGGTTCTAACTTCTATCAAAATGGTGTGTGTGCACCTTAGTCAAGTTACTCTCCAAATTTAAAATGCTTGAATAATTTGGATAGTAACTAAGACAAAAACATATAAATTTTGCAAATCATATAGTACGGACAAGTGTGCCAAGTGGGACAGCATGTAAATGATCTTAAGAATATGTGATCCAGATTCTTGTTATTTTTTTTCAGTCAAGGCTTGCCTCTGACTCTAATGAACCCATTTCATGCTACCAGATAAATATGAATGCATATCACAACTCAATGGTCCTTCCGAGATTTTAAAACTTCATAAAAACTAATCTACTGTTTACATGGTGCATGAAATAACACTCCAGCACTTGTTGAAGGGCTCAAGGCATATGAGGATGGTTGGAGCTTAGAGCGACCAGCACGAATCACACAACGTAGCATTATGATGGACAAGGTTTAATTCTATCATGTAAGGTAATACAACCTGACAACCACTCTCTTTAACAGGCTGGCTATTTAGAGAGAAGTGCACAACAGGGGATCACACTTAGGGTCTCTATAGCATTTTCTCATTTCTAATCGCTAGATTCCCTAAACAATACTCTTGACTTATGCTGAGCAGCAGTTAAGAGACCCTAAATGTGTGGATTTCAAGGTTAAGGACCTATGATGCAGTCCAATTGGAAGGTCTACCCATTGCTACATAGTAACTGAATTTAGGAGGGTAACCTTTACTGTGATGCGATTAGCAAAGCGTGGGAGCTTCCCAGTGGTGGCCCCGCCGAAGAGTGTCCCCAAGTCGTCATCCTCGCCAAAACCAGACGACTCGCCGCCCCTCCTCTTCCTTTTCCCCTTCCCCTTCTTCCCCTCCCTCTCGAAATCCTGCTCCGCCTCTGCGCGAGCCTCCGCCATCTCATCCTTGCTCAGGAGGCTGCGTCCCCCTGCGCACCACCCCAAATGCACAACAACACATCAGTGCAAAGAAAAATTGATAGGGAGGAGGGAGGGGGGTGTTGCGGGACTGCGTAGCTCGACGCTTACCTCTCGGGAAATCAGCTTCGTCAGAAGCTGCGGCGAGGAGCGCAGCGGAACCCGGCGCTGCCGACTGCTGCAACTTTCCGTCGCCATCCCCCTGCTCACCGGCCGCATCCTCCTTGCGGTGCCTTTTAAACTGCTTCCGGTCGGGGCGCAGGTCGGTCTTGCCGCCGGCGCCCTTCCCCTTCTTCCTGTCGTTGCGCGGCGGCGCCATAGCGGCGAGCGCTCTAACCTCCTCGATCGCGCGTCGCTGCCACGCTGGTCCGCTGCGGCTATATGCCCTAACAGCCTCGCCTAGCACTCCCGTGACACGCCGCGGGCTGCCTTCGCGTCGTCCGCGCCGCTCGCCGTCAGCAACTCAGAGCGGAGTCGCCGCCGTGCAGGTGATGATGAATGAGGCCGCTGCCTCCGCTCGTTGTTCCTTCTTGGGGGTTAGGGTTTTAATAAAAGTCATGGGCTGGGCTAGGGTTTTGAAAATCTGTGGGCTCGGTGTTTAGGCCATTTGTTGCCTCTCGTAAGGCCGGCCCAAGTTGCGTTGGTCCAAATAGCCGAAGCTCTAATTTTTTTCTCGGGATTTCTAAATATCTGTTTTCTTTCACTTTTGTATGGTGCAGATGCTTGTTAGGATTCGTGCTCAAGATTAACACGGACGGATGTGCATGTCTCCACAAGCGGGCGGGCGCGTCCACCGCGCCGTTTCGTTCTCGCGCGCGTTGTGCAGTCGGTCCGGTTTTTTACTGTACCAGTCTAGTGCAAGTTTTATGGTTCTATTTGGTGTTTAAAACAGTATAAACAAGTTTCGTTCCCATGAAACTCATTTCATCTATGAAATTTTTATCATCTTTTTATTCATTTATACTATATCACGATAGCTTATTTAATACCCATGAAATCCTTATAAAACTTTTATTGAGACCGGTCTCAGGAACATAGCTCCAACATGTTGGGATGTTTGAGTTATTATTGGTTTTTATTGAACTAAACATTAAACAAGGTTAGATTTTATATCTATAGGTTTTTTTATTGGTTATTATTGGTTTTTTATCATATAGGTTTTTTTATATCGTATAAATTTTATATCATATAGGTTTGATGCACACAACACGAACATAATCGTGGGAGGCATCAATGAAGTATGTTAGTCATTTCAATACTGCTACAAGCATGTAAAATGTCACTATGTGTAGGATCTCTAGTTGGTCTGGAATGGGGTGAATAGGCTTATAATCGACACAGAATTTTCGTCTTCGTGCCGAGGACACACGCAGCAAGCTGGAAGGGTCCGCTCGATGGAGCAGATCCGCCTAGCTTCAGCGCAAGGGTGGTCGATCCTACGCAATTCTTCCGAGACGTGCCAGTCAATTTGACCCTGCAATTGACAATGAGAGAAAGCTTATCAGTAATTAAGGGCGGAACGTGCCGGTGTTGTCAGACAGTCCCGAATGTGCGGCTCTAATAGCCGATATGAGAGGAGATCGACTAAATAGTCGATTCCGGCATATTCATAAGAATAAATCGATTAAAACTCGTGGAGTTGTACAAGAAGAATCGGTTATCATTAAGGATAAATATTATTTAAGCAAATATTAATCAATGGCAATAAGATATTAATGATGATCGGTTTATACTGAGCCAATGATTACAAGTAACCGAACCCCTTTTTATATAAAGGAACAATTCAACACCACTTAACCATTTAATAAAAATAAATCTAATGAATATGTTAGATCTCATCTATCGCCATGACCAGTGGGGCATGAGGCAGAATCATGCAGGTCGTAGAAACAACAATATACTCGACGATCCTAACTCATTACTAATATCAGTGGGGCATGAGGCAGAATCATGCAGGCCGTAATACAATAATGAGATCATGGGGCTGACATATCTTTCAACTTATCTCTACTTCAATGATCTCGTAATGCGAACTGTTCGTGAAAACACTCGATATCGGCTAAACAGCCGATTCAGGCATATCGCATAGTTAAGGTCATGCCTTCTCAGAAACGGACCTACCAACTAACGATCCCACTCCACGGTGCTAACAGTGGGGTGAGAGGCAGAATCCCATAGGCCGTGATAACGAACCGTAAAACGGTTCTCGTTAACCAATAGATCTACTTAAGATCAAACATGCCTTAACCGCACGCCATGCACGATTAAGATTGACGCAAAACAGCTGATAAACACATAACTCATCACTTAAAATGTAGATTAGATCAATTTTAGACTAGCAAACGATGAGTTAAATAAGATATAAGGCCGATCCAGATTAATCTCAATCGGACAGAGTGATATTGCTGTAATTAGATAGACAATGAAAGCAATAAGCAATATCGGTAACTTAATGAATCTACCAAAGACTGCCATACTAAGGTAGAGCCGATAACTTGACCTTGATCTAGTTCAAGCAGTGGGGTGTGAGGCAGAATCACACAGGCCATACTTAAACTAGGCAAGAGTCGATAACTAGCCTATACTAGAGCCGCAGTGGGGGTCGACCGGATTGATACAGCCATACGAACAGAGGTATAAACCATGACGGTACTTACAGACAAGCAGTGGAGGTCGACCGGATCGATGCAGCCGTACTCGTTGAAGAACTCGCCGAGATCTACTCTACTCCTACTTCTAAGGGGTGACCAAAGCCGAAAAAAGTAATTGACTTGTATTTGATTGATTGTTTTCTTTACAATAGCCGGGGTTTGGTATTTATATCCGGAGCCTAAAAATGAACCTTACTCGAGTACGACACAATACAATCTTTGGCATAATGAAAATATTCCTAATTTAAGATAATTTGGACTCTAATCTTTCCCTTTTTGTAGAGTCTAGCATGTCTCGTCCCAGCGCCGATCATTGCCTCTCTCGTTATCTGCTAGCGTTATCTGAAGAAAGCCGATTCTAGTGCTGCGTCCGAATCAACTAGCTCCAATCTCCACGCAGTTGATTCCTTGATGACATGATTTTCGGGAGCTTCCAAATCCCTGCAACTTTTTCTTCCAAATTCTGGTGTAAACACTTATCAAAACAAGCACTCAAACTTTTATCAATTTCACCTTGCAGCACTGCCGAACTGCAGTACTGCCGGGCCAGAACAGCGGCACTACCATACCTGTAGATAACTTTGAGTCACAGTTCAAAATCAGTGAACGGAAACTTAGATTGGAGAAATTTCTCAGCTTACTACAGGTATGATAGTCATAGATCGAGAGCTAGAAGTAGTAGAAACACCACACACAAGTTGATCGACTAAAAACCCTAAAAATCACCACAACAACAATATGACCTGCAAGTAATGTAAATCAAGCACAAGAGACACAATTATTTATCCCGTGGTTTGGCTCGCCACCAAGGCTTGCCTACGTCCACGTTGTTGAGGTTAGCCACTAAGGCTTAGGGCTTTCCAACCCTTCCTCGTTCTCAAGTTAAGAGATTTAACTCTTAAGACGATGGATGAGTTTACTAGCTTCAAGAGATGGTTACAAGCATCCCGGGGCTGCCACACAAGTTGAAAAGCTTCACGGACGACGCTCTAGCCGGCTAGGAGCCAAGCTCCAAGAGTAACAAACACAACCGCCGGCCAAAACGTGAACCAAGCGCTCTTTTGAGTTGAGGAATTAATGGAGTTGCTCTCTAATCGAGTTTTGGACCATTTTCTCTTAAGGATTGATGGAGAAATCAATAGATTTGCTTGAGGGCTTAAGGTCACTAATGGAGGGAGAGAGAGCTCATTTTCTATTTTGCACGAGCTGAAATGAGCAGAAGGAAGAAGATAGCCGTTGGGAAGAAAGAGGATGGGTATTGAAGGGGATCGTGACGCCTAAGAGGGGGGAGGGTGAATTAGGCAACTTAAAATTCTAACTCTAAACTATGTCCTCTTTTTCAAACCTTAGCAAAACCTATGCAAAAGATGAACTATCTAAAAGTGCAACTACGGTTTTGCTAGTGTGTTGCTATCTCTACCGTAAAAGGAGTAATATAATCAGTGTAAATGTAGAAACTAAAAAGCAAGGTAGAGATATGCAAACTCCCGTTGACGACTCCGGTATTTTTACCGAGGTATAGAGAAGCACGCAAGCTTCCCCTAGTCCTCGTTGGAGCCCCTCGTAAGGAATCCCTCGCAAGGGCCAAGCTCTCGGTCGGGTAACTCCGTGGATAGCCTCGGACCTTCCCCACATGCAAGTGGGTCTCCGATGTGCCTTCCAGCAAGCCTTTCCCGGATGCTCCCAGCCGTCTTCACTATCAAGCTTTCGCCTGAAACGCCGCGGGCCTTGTTCCCTCCGGTACACGGTGGCGGCCACACCACAAGCGTGGTTGGTGTGATCTCGCAAGACTACAAGCCCCTCTGATGTACAACAATGGTGCGCGCAAGCACCGAGTGGTAAGAGGTATGCAAACCTCACTAAACACTAGACCTAAACCTAGAGCAAACGTATAAACGGTGGTCTAATCAACCTAAGCACTTCGCAAAGCACATATGCTAATTACCTAATGAATCACTAAGCACTATGCAAGTGGAGATCACTAAAATGGTGTATCAACACCCTTGATATGTTTCATTAGCTCCACACACCTCATTTGGCCAGTTGGACGTTGTATTTATAAGCCCCACTGAGAAAGTAGCCGTTGGGGATGAAATCCCGCTTTTCTGCTACTGACCGAACGCTGATCACGTCATAACCGGACGCGTCCGGTTGTCCCGACCATTGGAGCCGCGAACAACTGATCAGACGCTGCCAGCGTCCGGTCACCTGCCACCAGACGCGTCCGGTCACAGTTTCGCCGCTCTGGAACCTCTCTGTACTCGACCGAACTCTGTTGTCCTATGTCCGGTCGATTTGCCGCCAGCGTTCGGTCCAGCATCCGGTCGCTGCTGCTGACGCCTGTTGCCGAGCCACTTGATCGGAGCGTCCGGTTGCTTTCCTCCAGCGTCCGGTCCAGCGTCCGGTCACCTCTGTGAGCTCGTTTCTCCATGATCTTGCGTACGGCTTGGTTCCTATCTTTATGCTTGGACTTTGCTTGATATCTTAGGTCTTCTCTTGTGCTCCTAGGGTCTTGCTTATGGTGTTGATCATCGGATCATCACGTTGTCTTCGTCCAAGTCACGTCTTCCACCCTTTTGGACTACAAAACAATCACTTACAAATTTATTAGTCCAATTTGGTTGTGTTGGTCATCAAACACCAAAATCTAAAGTAAATGGGCCAAGGA